TCATGCAAGCAAAAATTTGAACTTTACATCAATAATGATAAAATATTACATCCACATATGAGTGATATACCATCATAATTAACAATTGAATCTTCTAAAAATGTGATATGGTAAAATTTAAACTTTACATTAGTAATGATAATGTATGACATAAATGAATTAATAAAAGGATATACCATCATATATCCCTCCAATCTGAAAATTTTATATGGCAATGTTGACATATAAATCTTCTATGATCCTGTATTTGGCTTAGTTACATGTAAGTATGCAAAACGTTGGTGTTATAGTTTTATGTAGAACTATATATATTTTAATCTAACTGTTATTGGCATGTTGCAAAAAGTAGAGGAAGGTACTTCTTTTAATGGTCTCCAGGGTAATATAAACTGGTACCGCCAGTGTTGCATCTAGGGAGGCACCAGAGCGGGCTGGATTGTCAGCTTTCTCCTTCCCTACAATGTTCCTATGTCGAAGAACTCAGATAAGTGTGATATCAGCCAACTGATTTAGCTCGTCGATTGCTTCTCTACATTCCTTAACTATTTTGGATTTTATTATGAAATATTCAAGGGCTTTAATTGCTGTCTGGCTGTCAATAAAAATAGCAACATTACATCTGTCCTCGATGTGACTTGCAATTTGCCAATAGGTTTCTCTAATTGCTAGGATTTTAGCCTGAAAAACCGTGGCCTCATTAGGTAGCCTAAGTGAATTATTTGTGTTTTCAGATGGTACGAAGAATGCTGTTCCTGCCCCACATTTCATTTTCGAGCCATCTGCATATATTGAGATATCGTAGTTTGCTTCGCAATTTTTCTTTTTCCATTCATTTCTTGAAGGGAATATTGTCTGAAAATTCCTTCCGAAGTCTATGCACGGGTTCAGATAATCCGATGTCATCTTATACATACAATTTGGAACTGTACCTAGAATCCGACTATATCCATATGTTCGTTCTGACCAGACGCCTGTTACTTTTAGTCTTACAGCGCTGTTGGAAATGTTTTTGATGTGAAGGTCGATAGGTAGCAGGTGTAGCGTTACGTTTAGGGCATCTGAGGGATTCATCCTAAAAGCTCCTGTGATACCTATACATGCTTTCTTTTGAATTCTGTTAAGTTGATCGGTGATTTCAACAATTTAATTGCGTCTATAATTCTAATTATATCGATATATGTATATGATTGCTTCGAAGTACAGCAAAAAACAACAAGTCTCTTGCTAAAGTGTCCAATTTGTATGCCAAGTAACAAAAGCACTCTCTTGTTCTAATAGACTAGTTATGAAGTAACTAATAATACAGAAACTGCAGAAAAAATGTTGCCAAAGTAATAAATGATCTATTGTGTACCTTTTTTTTCGGAGTTTTCACAAGTATTCCATCTGTCAAAACTTTTTTGCAAATAAAAATTCAAATAAAATTTAGAAGTTTCACAAATTTAAAAACTGTGAAAATGATATATTTTAATAATGTATAAATATTTTTAAGAATCATACACACATTTGATTATACACTTTACGTTTTTTAGTTTAGACGAGTGTACCGATTTATCTGAATATAAACTGTTGTTGATATTCTTTATTCCCAATTTTCTTGGAATATATTTGTAGAGTTTTTCAAGTTCTTAGTTTTTACTTTATATCGAGTTAAAAACACGTCTAATCATATTTTCAGGAAGATATAGAACTATTTATTAATTTTGGCATTTATGTTGAAAAGTATATAAAAAATGGACAATGCTTAGAAGTAAAATATCTAATTTGCACTTTGGATAATATTAATGATCATTATTATATAGCCAGATATGTGATACAAAAGTGATTATTATCTACATAATAATCTCAAATATTTAGTTATTTTCCGAAACTTTTATCAATAATTGTATTATTATTAGACATTGTTCTTTGAAATACATAATTATATTATGTTTATCTACAATCTTTAACAAATGTTCAAGCTAGTTCTGCTAATGAGCAAGTAAAAAAACTATTCAAATAGCATGAAAACCATTTTTGCGTTTACAAATTTTATAAATTTTGAGAAGGAAAAGATTCAAAAACAAAAAAACAAAAAAAAATAAATAAAACAGAAAACAAAAAAATATGTGAGCAAAAGCAAAATAAAATAACATGAAACTTTATGCTTGTAGAAGTGAAATACAGAGAAAAAAGTTTAAATATAAAAAAATGCAAAACAAAAAATAAAAAGTAAAATATAAAAAACAAGAAATTTTATTCATAATCAGCACTTGTGCCGCTTCAGGTAATTGTTGTCCGCTGGCAACATCGCATACAACTCTGTATTATTTTCAGAGTTGAAATCCATCATTGGTGCAGCATTGCTTGCGGCAACGTTTGGGATGAAATATTATAATTACGAGCGAAGAGCCCCAAGGCAAGTTTAGTTCATTCTTTGGATTTGGTTTGAAGATGGGGACATGCGGGCATTTATTTGCCAGTATATAAATTTTGTACATACAACGTTGTGTATATATGTACATGTATATGCATACGTACCTACACAATTATTATAGCGTTCTGCTCACAGATGACGGCAACAACGAACGAACGATATATCAATTTATACGTTATACATTTGGTTGGACTTGTGACATGTTTGATTCAAATATTCTACTACCGCAGCTTGCAGTTGGTTTCAAATGTTTGTTGAGGTTGTAAATGGCATCTTGGATCATGTTGTGTTTACGTTGCTGGGACTGGCACGTACCTATTTGTGTACATGTGCCGGCAATAATTATTAAGATGTTGCGTCATTGATAACTAAATCGGTCAAACCTGCGACATAAGCCTCAATTTTCACGTACGAGTTTGTTTAAGTTGGATGTTGAAAGCTGGACAATCCCGGCATTGTTGATGTTGGTATGAAGAAATTGAACTTGTATTCATTGGTAAAGTTGGTGCTTGTATTTTGTTCGTAATGTTAAAAATTGGTTGAACGTTTAGGACTTAGGACTTTATTAAATTGGATGAAATAATCGTAGAATTACCGTGTTATATTTTATTATTCATTATGATTCAACTGTAATATATAGATATCTTAATAATATAATATTTAATATATTGCTTTGATTATTGTATATATTATATTATAATTTATCTTTAATCTAATGATAATTTATTTACATAATTTAATTTTTAAAATTCAAAATGTAGTATATTATACTCGATTCATACGACAGTTTTGTTTGTAATTTTGGATGTCAAAAATTTTTATTTGGTATTAAAAGCGACAACAATTGACTGCTAAAATTAAAAACAAAACTTGAGAATTTGGTATAAATATATTTATAATTGTTTATTATTTTACCTTCTGCTTAAAAAGTACTCGGATTTTTTAAATAAAACACAAAAATTTAAATTTTATTGCAAATTTATTTTATCTCCTTCAAAATATGCTCCTTCTGAAGCAATACACATATGCCAACGCTTTACCCAGTCTTTCATACACTTTTCATAGGCCCGTAAAGGTATGGCTTTTAGTCCCTTCAGCGAATTCTCTTTTACCGATTCAATCGACTCAAAACGCTTACCAAGAAGGGGTAATTTGAGTTTCGGAAACGGATCCAGATCTGGCGAATGTGGTGCCTGAGCGATGACAGTGGTGCCGTGTTTGGTCAAAAAATCGCGTACAACAAGAATTTTCCAAAGTAAATCGCTTAATGCACTTGAGGTAGTCTCACATTAACAGCTGCTGTAAACAAACTAATTAACAGATGGCGCTCAAATTTGTACTAAATATCTTTTGTATTTTTGAAAAAGGTCTATTATTTAAGTTAACAAACAACAAAATCCGGATACTTTTAGAGCAGAAAGGTATACATAAACTGTGTGGATAGCATTAAATACCTAGGCATCACGGTAGACAAACGATGCATATGGCTTAAACACGTTCAACTGAAAAGAATAAGCTGTGCCAAAACTCTTCATCACCTCTAACCGCTACTCAAAACTGAAAATCTCAATGCTAAGAACAGGAAGCTGTTATATAACCAAATAATTAGACCGTCACTTTTATGTGGATGTATAGTGTTGAGCAAGGCCTCCCCAAATAGAAATTTCAGAAAGCCAGGCTCTAAGAAGACTTTTGAATTTACCATGGTATATTAGGATGAATGACGTCTTCAGGGATCTCAAGATTGATCCAATCAAAAAATACATAAAGGGTAGAGTCCTGAAAGTATTTACGAAAAGTGACTGGCTTTTCAACACCGCGTTATCGAATCTCAGAATGATTACATACTTCTCGGGGAGGTATGCAGATCTGAGGTCAGTTATTGCTTAGTCTGATAAAGTGATAAACTATAATCCAGTCAAGGTGTAGAGAGGGGTTATGAAGAAACTTCGCAGTTAGTAGAAAGTAAAAGTGCTCAAGTGCACTGACTAAACTATCCTTAACATAATAATGATTTAATTATAATTTAATAATAAAGTTAGCACAATGTGTATATTATTTTTAATGTCAAGAATATACATGATTTTCTGACATTTTTTTGGATTTAAAATTTAATTAGGACATAAATTTTTTTATTCTACATTAATTGTTATAACAATATAAATTAATACAAAATAAAAACATAAATTTGATACTTGCTATAAATGAATGAATGAAGCAAAAGAAAGTAAAGTATAGAATTAAAAGTAGTTTAGGAAATTTTATATAAATGATATTAAAATGGTATTCAGGATAGATCTTATAATAATAATTAATTTGAGTTAATTAACTAATTTTGTGTGAATGAATAAAACTCTATAGATATAATCTTTTAGAACTTTTTTATTTTTTTAAATTTGTTGTAATTAGTTTAATAATAATAATTTCACATTTAAACAAATATTAAATTGCAATTCTTCCTCATTACGTTATTAAAAATTGATTGAAGCGTACGAAACTTGTATGGTTCGAACATGCTTTACATATTTCAACAAAACATGTTGTTACTGCTTTTAGTTTAGTTTTGATGCTCGTTTGAAGGTGTTTGTGTGCACGGGAGATTTAAACATAAGAATTTCGTTGATCAAAATTAACGTGTCGTGTAAAAAATTGGTGATGATAAAATACAATACGAACTGAAAACAATTCCATCTTTAAAGTAAGTCAAAAATTTTTTTATTTATTTTTAAATTCATAAAAAAAGGACTTGTTTAAAACAATCTATATCGTCTTATTAACAAAATTTTGATTTTGCTAAAAATATACAAATAATAAACCATTCTGAATGGTTTTCTAAAAACGGAAGCGACAACTTGTTGCACTCCAACTGCACCCAGTGTAAAAAATTCACCCGCAAACAGGAAAGGAATACGCTTACACTGTTAAGTGCATTCAACAATTTCCGACATACGTTGCAGTTATATTTTTTTATTATTTTCTTGTGTTGTGTGTGTGTTTGTGTGTTGCTCTAAACAACTTCCAAAAAAACAAAACATTGAAATGCACATACAACCAGTTAAGTAGCACGTAAAATGGACCAGCAGCAAACACAACATCAAAAAAAAAAAAACACACTGCAACATCAGAAACAACATTGCCACAAAATCACCCCACATTGTTATTCCAACTGTGACTAACTTCATTTCAGTTTTTAGTGTTCACTGTTCACTGTTCAGTGTTCGGTGTTCAGTTTTGAGTTTTTCTCAATTTTTTGCTCTTGTGTTTGTTTGTGTGTTTGCATTTATGTGTGGTAACGCGCTTAAATACATGTTGCCTGTCTGAAACACAGTTGCATTTATTGGGCGTGTGTTGGTGCGTTCGGTTATTTGCTTGTTAGCCATTTGTGTCAATTGTGTGCGAATTCCGACAAGTGTGAAAATTTTATCACTTTTTGTTTTTATACAAAATGTTTGGTTGCATATTGAATAGAAGGCGCGTTTGTGTTTTTTGGCTTTTGTTGTTGCTTGTTTATTGGCTGTGTGGCTCTCGCTGAAACCGCACGAGAGGTCGTGGTGAATTAATTAAATAAAACGATTATACAGAAGTTAGAAGATTGAAGTTTAATGAAAATATTTTTGTGCCTCTTTTCATTTAGAAAGAAAATTTGTTGTGATTTCAATTCGTATTTTTTTTTCTTTAATTAAATCTCAACATATTTGTTGCTAAGTTGTTAAATTGCTAAGTGTGTCATATGGTTGGAGTTAACATTTTGGGACTTAGCGGAGAACAATAGAATAAACTCAGGCGTATGAGTTATCAGAATCAATTTTTTCTAGAATCAATTTTGAATACTCGAGAACTACTTTAGTGTGAATGATGGTTCTCAGGTGGTCAGCAAATACTCTCATACTGGATAAATACGAACCTGTGAAGAAACAATGTTTTTTTTCAACACATCAATGCTCTCTTATATTTTAGTGTTGAACAAACACGAATCTAAGGAGTTTTTATTTGTACCCCAAAAATTTTTTCCAGCACATCAGAACTCTTTTATTTTTTAGTACTTTATAAACTGTCAAATATATATTCAAGCGTATCTGTTGACAGTAATGGCCACTATCCATCGAAGTTAAATGTAGATCATTGTCTCTCAGCAACTGGCGTCGGCGTATGCTTTGTGTGGTGATGCGCATAACTTGTTGAATCTTTCGATTCAACTTTCGATATTACCAAATTTTAGGTTTGCAGACGACTTGAAAGCATTTTTCAAAGTTTTTCTAGTTAAACATACACACTAACCTTAACGCCACAGTTTAAGGGTATTAACGAAGAGTGATCATCAACTGTTTCATGCCTCCTATGTCTGTTTTTAAGTTGCCCTGTTTTCATCAAAAAAGAGAAGTTCTAGGAAGTTTAACAGTTTATCTATTGAGCTTTGTTTTTGTTGAGCTATTAAGCCAAGTACTTTGTTACATGTACCTTAGACGTCATATATAATTCTTCATAGCACTTTTTGTTCGTCATATCGGTCAAGCAGCCGATTATTTTTAACTATGTCGAGAATTTCATTCAATTCAAGTCTAAACTTTCCGTATCAACCACTGGTATAGGATTTGGCTAAAATTCCAATTTTGTTGTCTTGTGGTATAGTCCACACTGATTTTTTTAAAGAATTGTGGTTTTTAATCTATTACATAAATCTATTAGACAAAAATTATTTCCGTTAAAAGATTCTGTTATTCTACAGGATTAAGCGTATGAAGTAAATTTGAATTCGTAATAATAAAATTGCATGCTTATACATATATCCGAAATAATCTTCGGGTAATAACTGGGTGCAATGGATTGTTGAATAAATTTGTCACTTTATTTGCAACATTCAATTTTATTTTTTCTTCAGAAATTTGATAGCATAATGATACAATTCTTCGCCATTTTCTGTTTTTTTTACGATATTGATGAAGTAATTGTGTAATTCTTCTCAACAGTCTTTATTCAATTTTATTTGGTTTTTTGAATTTCTAGTTAACACTCTGACGTTAACTAATTTGACTTTATAGATAAATTTATGGATGTTAATTCATATATATAAATTTATAAATATAATCTGTTATCTACATATTCATTTTAAATTTAATAGATAATCATAACTTAAAAGATTTACTTAAATTAATTTAGAAATTGTTAAATTATTTAAACTTTATATGTTAAATTAAAATTGTTTTAATATTAAAGATGCAATTTAGATATATTTCGAGTTAAGATAAATATGTTTCGTCATATAAATATTAAAAAATAAGAACAAAAATAAAAAGAAACATATGTACGTATACAAGATCTTAGTCAAGTGTTGACTGCTTGCGTGAATGGATTGAAGCGGTTTAGTTTCTAATTGAGATATTAGTCACTTTAGTAAATATTGTTGAGAATTTTTAAAAATTATGGTTTTGGGTCCCCAGAATAATAATATAATGATGAAAGTCTTTATCAATTCATTTTAATAGCAAAGTTGATTAAATTTGTGTAAAGATAATGAGAAATTTTATACTTTTTTTACTATTTGGACTCATTTTTTATATAATTAGTCAATTTTTTATTACAAATTGTATCTCTTAAGATAACGATCGTAAAACGTTGTTAAGCATTTGCTGTATAAATGTCGTTTGTTATTATACATAATACTTTTGATTGAAACCGTTGATGTACTATATGTGCATATTGATTGAAACTATTATTGTTTTGTTGATTAAAAGTTTATTTTGTAGCGATAGGTGAAAATTAGAACATAGCTCTCAATAAAAAAGTGTTAATATAAATCCCATCTGTTTTTATTTTAATTTAATAAAAATATAATGTTACCGGGTAGTTCACTTGTCGGTGTTTATCCCGAGGTATTTTGTACTCGTTTTCTGAGGTGATAGTTCGTCGTTTAAGTATATGGTGAATCACTTGCTTTTTCAAAGAGTATACAAGTAACAGGATTAACTTGCTAGTTTTGCTTAAAGTTCCCATCTTTTCAACTACATTTTAGCGCCACTTAAGTTTTTTGATAATTGAGTAGATACAATTGCTGAAATCTGAGCAGATCTTACAAAGTTATTATGCACTTGAAATAAATATGTGTTGAAGAAAAGCAAATAGGCGTATTAAATTAATAACTTTAGTGCAATATACCTTACACGGCACTATCAACTAAGTCTCTTGTGAAGTAATATACTTTCAAACTAATTTATGTATTTTTAAGTGCATGGTATATATCTTTAAAATACTTTCAGTATAAATTTTTTTTTGTATCTCAATACAAATACTTTTGTTGGCTCTATAGTGAGCTCCGAAAGGTTGGAACAATTAAAATTGAATAGCATTGCACGTATATTCTGAAAGGACCCACGGGTATTTTAATAATTCAATAAAAATTAGTGAAAAGAAATGCTGAAATACAGCGCGTTGAATTTATTTTATGATAAATTTTAAAATCTTGTAATAGCCGCAAGTTAAGATTGTGTTACTAAAGTTGGCTGCCTCCGGGTGGCTCGCATCAAGCCAACCAAAATGAAATTTAACCAAGTCAATGATATGAAAAGGCAAAGCAGATGATAATGAGAAGAGACAAACAAAAAAATTAGTAACAATGTTAAATTTTACACGAACAGGATATATAAACAAATGCAATGGTAATGGATGAGGATGAGGATGAGGAAGAATGGGGAAGGAAAATTGGGTAAGTGCGGTGAAGTGAGAAAATCAAAAACTCAGCGACGATATATTTTGAAATAGCAGCTTTTAGCACAAATGAAATGGAAGGAAAAAACTTGAAGGTAAAAATTATTAAATAAAAAATAAGTAGGAGGAGTTGGGTCCCCTGTACTATGCAAAGACATCGGTAAGGTGGAACGGAATGACAGTGACAGAGACATCGTACCATAATCATCACTACCATCATAATACAATACAAAATATACGTATGTTGCCTGTGGCTATTTCTGAGTTGACTTAATTTATGATTTTTTTACTTTGCCTTTGCCTTTCCATTTGCCTTTTCATTGAAATTCCTTCTTCAATTTTCGCAAAGGTCCTTTTTGGTGGTTTGTGGTGGTGTGTGTGCATATTCATTGCAACATTGCTGTATTCTGGGATGATGAAGAAAACTGGTAGTGCTCCTTTGGACTTCTTCTTCTACAATATATACTTGTATATAACATACATATGCTGACAGAAATATGGATTTCGGAATGTGAATACACGAGAGTAAATTATATATACTTAAACACGTATGTGTAGGTATGTAAAGGTTGCATGTTGTTTCTTTTCTTGAAAATACCAACTGTCAGTTTTCGAAAAGTAGCCCGGGGTCATTTTAATCCATTAAAAATTAATTCACACAAAACTAAAAGTGCATTCGGTTTTAATGCAGCCTTTGTGCCAGTTGCCCATTTTTATTGTGTTATACCCGCATGCACAGAAAGATATACGAGTAAATGTGAAATGTCACGCATTGACAGGTTTCTGAAATGTATTTAAACATGTTTGACCCCAACAACAAGAGCGGCGGCGGTGGCGGCGACAGCGGCAGAGACAGAGGCAGCAGCAGTACACCAACTACAATACCCGTAACAATGCAAACAATAAACTAGCAATGGAATAACAACAGCAGATACAACAACAGCTACAACAAGAAGAACAACTACAACTACAACTACAACAACAGCGCCAAAGTAA